CTTTACCTCTTATAGAGAAGGTGTTCTTGTTGTAAACCAAACTTGATTCCAAAGTACCCTCAAGTTTGAGTTATGATCTTCAAGTCTCAAATCAAGTTCCAAGTTCAAGCTCTTGTATGGTATGTATGGATGATATGAGAGTTTCAAGGCTGATATGAGAGCTTATGGAAGGACAAAGATGAATTGTAGCTTTGATATTTTTTTGGATATTTCTAAGATATTTCTAAACTCTTGATATTGTTTCTTTCTCTCTAACTCTTAATCTTGTTTTCTTAACCCCCCCTAACATCAGGATGAGCCCCGTATTTATAGAACTTGAGCTACTACTCAAAATATTTGCAGAATCGAGCAGCTGGCAGATTGCTGTACAAACTACATGAAAAGTCAATAGGTCTGGTCAGACTTTGGTGTCTCCGGTCGAAGGTCACTGATGTACGGCCGGAGGTCAATGTATGCCCACTGTTCCTCACTTTCAGGTTCAATGCAGGTACAAACTGACTTTTTGGGGTAGAAATACAGTGGGTACGGCAAGTTAGAATTGTTTAGAGCTCGAACTTGGATTCTTTTATTGAGAATTAAAACCACGTACACAATATAATCATCATCATCGAGTTCTCAAAATAAAGTGCCTAAGTCTTACGAGCGGTCAAAACTGGGGCATCTACACAGGGCAGTACTCAAAAATAGTGGCCAATCGGCCACCTTTCTGTACAGATGACCACTTTTCAAGGTCAGTCGACCACCCCTTTTACACAAGCAGTGTCATTTTCACAGTAGAACAGAGCAGAATCCAAGGCCAAAAAAGAATAATTTTCTGACCGCAAACAGAACAAATTCTGGCAGCAAACAGAGAGGTTTCGAGAGAATGTTCTCAGTTGTGTGTGTATGGTTCCTCGCTATTCGAGTCCCTTAAATTAATGCTTTAAATAGTTGTATGCATAATTAATTAGTTAGCTTCATTTGAATTTGTAATAGCTAGTTAATTAAGTTAATTCAATTGTGTTGTAATAATTAGTGAAATAGCTAATTAGGACATTCATTCGAACCCTCTTGTGCGAGGGCAAATTTGTAACACTGGTAATATTTGTATGTCTTCCAACCCCCATTTCCTTCTCCCTTTTATTTATATGCTTACCATGGTAGCATCATGTTTTCCATTCTCATATGATTGCCATACTTCGTATCCATGTTTTGCATGCATTGGGTTCGGTTCATCATTCTAACATTGTTGTCATTTCGTACTTACTTGAATACGTGCATTGCCGCATGTTTTAAGTTGATCCGTATGACATGTTAAAATAAACCGAACCTAGTAGTTGCATTTTATATGTGTTGCATTAGTCATTTTGCATACTCAGGAACATCTTTTTCTAATTATTTTCTTCTCTTTGGCTTGCCTCAGTTGAGTACTAGGTGAGCGTTTTTGCTTTAGCATATTCCATGTATGTTTGTGTTTCCATATCAAGCATATTACCATGAGGCTAAGTGCTTATTTAATATACCTCTTTGAATGCCTATGGTTAGAGGCTATTTCGCTTAAGTTGGAATGATTTTGATTGATGTACGCATGAGCTTGCTTTTTCAAGTAGCACATATTCAAAACACTTTTCATACAAACATTGAAATTAAAACATTCCAAAGTAAACAACGTGGTCTATATTTGTGTGTCTCACATAGTAAAGTTAGTATAACAATTAGAACATGAGCATGTAATATAAATAAAAATCACATCATAATTAGTAGAGGCCGATCTTTGATCAGGTGAGTGGGGTGCTCAATTCATGACCCTCCCCTCTCATACTTAAGTTCCTGAACTATGACAACTTTGGTTACAACAGACAAGTGGCCTTTGGCACGAGTCATAAGGTTTCTTAAATTTCTCAAAATTATTTAGGTGGCAACTCTAAAAGCTGGCAATGCAGTCCATTTTCGGCATCTCCGATGATAAATGGATTTTCTAAAGATTTGTTGGATTTGGACTCTCATTTGTGTTTTTCTATTTCACATTGCACTTGTGAAACTAGATTCAAAACCACGGGAGTCCGAACTGTAGGGCTATCGTATCCGAGAAGACTAAACCCCTCCAAGGAGCAACGAGAAACCGACTGCAATAAGACTAAACGTTTTTGCCATTCTATTTATTAGTTTGATTCAACTATCCAATAAAATCAAAAATATTATTAGTTTTTTCCAGTTTTAAAATTGATAAATTATCATTTTTTTTTTTTTAAAGTGTTTTTTTTCAATTCTGCACATCAATGTTCCATCATCCCGCTCCTTTATAAACACAAAATTTTCAGTTAGTTTTTTAAAATTTTGTCAAAAAAACAAAAAAACCATTTTGGTTATGGTTTTCAAAAAAACAGTTTTAAGAAAATTTTACTTTTTAATTTTCTGTATTTTTAATGTTTTCAATAAATTTTTTTAATATTTTAAGCAGTTGTTTTTAATTTTTAGACACACCTAACATAAATACACTTAAAAAGTATAATATTTGGTAAAAAAAACTTTAAAAAATACATTAAATACCAAAAAATACACAAGAAATATGAAAATTCAATGCATTTTTCGTATTTTTGTGTATTTATTATTATTTAAAAATATTTTTTCATAAATATTTTACTATTTAGAAAAATCTAAGTAAGGTGCATCTAAAAAAATAAAGGAAAAATTAATCTAAGATCCCTCTCCCATTTTTAGTAATGGAAGAGATCCACAATATTATTTTATGATGTCTAAGATCCCTACAGAGAAATTTGATATCCAATTCTATTCTAACCTGAAAAATCGACACTGTATGAAGTCATCTTCTCACACAAACACACACTCTCTCTACTTTCTCTCTCTAAAACTATATATATATATATATATCTCTAAAACAGTCGGCACTGTTTGGAGACTCTTTCTCACTCATCTTCTTCAGTTTATGTATGGCACAAACCTCAACTTTCTTTGTCAAACAAAGCAGCACGATGAACCAAAACATCGGGAACAATTTTGTGATCCCACCTGCCTCCATTCACACACTCTCCGCGATCGGAATGATAATCTGTGTCGCAGCCTATGAGAAGATTTTTGTTCTGGCACTCAGAAAAGCCACCGACAACGAACAAGGCATCAGAATCCTCTAGAGGATTAGCATTGGCATGGTATTCCCAGTTATAGCCATGGCTATAACGGCATTAGTGGAACGAAAGAGGCTAAGAGAAGTAGAGAGAGATTGGTAGAGTAGAGAGAGTCGGTTATCTGTCTATGAACGTGTTCTGGTTAGCTCCTCAGTTCATCATTCTTGGGATTGGAGATGGGTTTATACTTGTTGGCCTACAAGAGTACTTCTATGATCAAGTTTCAGATTCAATGAATTTGTGTGTGTACGTGTGGTATATATATGGTGTGTGTTTGGACTAGTGAACAGAATTTTTTTTTCATTTGAATTGAATTTTCTTTGGGTTGAAACCAGAGAAATTCTTTCGTTTCGAGCTGGAACCTAGAATGCTTAATTTGTATAAAACCCAATGTTTGTGAAATCAAATTTTCAAACCCTCTTGTTGAGAAGGAGAGCAATATTGATGTTGTTCGATTTCATCTCTCATTCTCTCCAGAGAAATTCTCATCTAGGAATTTCTCTGGAGAGAATTTCTCTGATTGAGTTTTCTCTCTGTCCTCACCGTAGTGGTGATTGATTCGTAGATGATGTTTTTTCTAGATTAGATTTGAGTTGACTCAGTGAGTGGGTGCTCAATTGGATTACTCTTAATTTTCTCTGGATTACTCTTAATTTTTCTCTAGATTACTCTTGAATTTTCTCTAGATTTGACAATTTTCTCTGGATTACCTTTGAATGTTCTCTGAATTTGGTAATTTTCTCTGGATTACCCTCGAATTTTCTTTGGTTTCAATTTTCTTTGATTTTTCTCTGGTTTGAATTTTCTCTGGTAAAGGATTTGAATTTCTCTAGTAAGGACATAGAGTTTGAATTTTCTCTGTTCATGATGGCATTTGTTAAGGACATAGAGTTTCAGATCTTCTTTGAGAAAGGGTGTGTGCTTCTTCATATTGTCATTGATCTAGAGAGTTTACTTTGAGAGGAAGCTTGAAATACTCAGCCATGAAATTTCTCTAGAGAGAAACAGAGAATTTCTCTGGACCAGAATTTCTCTGGATCAAATTGAGGAACCTTAGACATTATAAAAATATTAGATGTCCTTTATACTATAAAATCTTAATACCATGGACCCTAAAAAAAAACCCCAAAAAATAAAATAATTTCCTTAAAATTTTAAAAATATTCACTAAAAACAAAAAACACGAAAGACAAAAACTCAATTTTTAGAAAACTGAAACCAAACACACTGGTTATTTATTTATTTATTTTTGTACATTTGTTTTTTAGTTTTTTCAATTTGAAAGTTGATATTTTAAAATTTTGAAAATCAAAATAAATATCAAATCATCATGTTCCTTTATAGATGATCATAAATGATGAACAATTATTATTTAAAGGGCAATTCCGACTATTAAAAATTTAATGGGATTTGAAGATCTAAAAAATCTTAGTTAGAACTTAATGGAGTATGAGTTCATAAATTAAGACTTGTGTGTAAATACCCCTAAATAACTATTACAAACGAAATCATTATTCACTATTGTGAGGGAATAAAGTAATGGATGATTGTTTCATTCAATTCAATTTTATTTTAGTGAACCAAATATTACATTATAATATTAGTAGTTTAAAAATGAAGCTATACAGAATTCAAAAAAGAAAAAAAAAAATTGGTGAATTATTTAAAAGTAATGAATGGTTGTTTGTCAAATATATAAATTAGAATATTGTTTGATTATACTAGTTACAATTGTTTATGGAAAAATAATTTTTTAAAAGTTGAAGTTAATCAAATTTTACAATTCAATCTACTAAGTGCTTGTTTGGTAGGGGTCAAATTTTGGCTCGGCCCATCCGGGCTCAGGCCCATATCGGGTTTGAGATTCATGTCTCTCCAACAGCCTGTGGACAAATTCAACTCTGGCTTCCACAAGTCTTTCTGATTCGAGTCCCCAATATCTAATCCTTTTTTAGACCACAAAAATTGAGATAGTAACACCGGAATCGGGCTCGGAGAGAAGAGTGATGGATGGAACTGCTATGGATTCTATCTTGAAGAAACTGGAGCAGCTGATTAACTTTAAGGACAATTTGATTGTAAATGAAAGGTATCAAATTCAGTCTCTTTACAATCAGCTAAGATTCCTTGGAGCCATTCTCAAGGATGTGGAGGAGAAGCACCATGAGAACAGCGAAGCTGAAAACCTGGCGATAAAAATTAGTGGCGTGGCCTATGAGACAGGAGAAATCATCCACCCTGCTGTTGCCAACTTTGTAAGACTGAGGGAGAGCAACAAGGATAAGAAAATTGGTTTTTGCTTAAATCTCAGTGATATCATGGAACAGATTAGGCCCATCGAGGTAGAAGTGATGCAGTTTTATGACAAGATGTATCAGATCCAAGTCCTAGAAGCCGGAAAGTCTTCTGATGGAGACCGCCTGTCTATGGGGAATAGAACCATGGTAGGGGAAGAAATTATGGTGGGCTTTGACGATGAGGTGTTGACTATAAAAAAGCGACTTGCTGGAGGGAAGAAGCAGCTAGACATTATACCAATTGTTGGGATGCCTGGACTCGGTAAGACAATTTTAGCCAGAAAAGTGTACAATGATCCTTATATCACACACCACTTTCATATTCGTGCATGGACTTATGTTTATCAAGTACCCAGAAAAAGAGAAATGTTATTGGACATTTTACATTTTGGTAATGTCCTTATCGAGGAAGTTAAAAACATGAGCCATGAAGAGTTAGGTGAAAAATTGTACAAGAAATTAAAAAGAAAGAGATATCTCATCGTCATTGATGATATATGGGATATTAGTGCCTGGGTCGATCTTAAAATATATTTACCAAATGATAACAATGGAAGTAGAGTTATGTTTACTAGTCGGCTCAAAGCGGTGGCTATGCATGTGTCACCTAATTGCCATCCTCATTGTCAGCGTTTTCTAACTGAAGAAGAAAGCTGGGAGTTATTACAACGGAAGGTGTTTCAGAATGGAAGTTGCCCTGCAGAACTGATTGAATTTGGGAAGCAAATAATGAAAAAATGCGAAGGGCTTCCACTTGCAATTGTAGTAATAGCAGGACTTCTTGCAAAGAAGAAGACAGAAGAGTGGTGGAAACAAGTTTCCCAAAGCGTTAGCTCGTACATTGTTAGTGATCCAAACCAGTACTTGGACACACTAGCACTGAGTTACAATCACTTGCCTCGTCACTTGAAACCATGCTTCCTTTATTTAGGAGCATTTCCAGAAGATCAAGAAATCTCTGTGCAGAGATTAATCTGGTTATGGATAGCTGAGGGGTTTATACAAAAAGTTGGGCCGAAAAGCTTGGAGGAAGTAGCGGAGGATTACTTAATGGATCTAATTCAGAGAAATCTGGTCATTGTTGCTCGAAAAAGGTTTGATGGTCGAATTAAAGCATGTCGTATGCATGATGTTTTGCGTGATTTATGCTTGAAGAAAGCTAGGGAAACTAATTTCCTACAGCAGACTCACAATAATAAAGTCGCTTATCCTTCCTCTTCATGCAATTACAGAACAAATACTCAATGTCGCCTCTGCATCAATTATGACTTTGAATATTTTGACCATGTTTCCTTTGGCTCTTATTCCCCAGTAGTTGTTCAGTCAATCTTGTGCTTTAATGCTTCAGATGGGTCTAAATATTCGAACAATGTGTTAAATGGTTTGCTGTTTATTTGTGAGACCTTCAAACTTCTTAGAGTATTGGACTTATGGCGTGTCTATGGCTTATTTTCAAGAAAATTAATAGAACTTGTTAATTTGAGGTATTTGGCAATTATGGTGGGGGGTTCAGTTCAATTACCGCTGTCAATATCCAATCTCTCAAACCTAGAAACACTTGTTCTTTTTGCATCTGTGTCTGAGGTTACTCTGTCACGTAATGTGTGGAAGATTCCGAAGTTGAGGCATCTTTATACTAAAGGAGAGAAATATTCTGTGTCTTTAAGTTCAGCAATGGATCACAGATATCCCTCTATATTAGAAAACTTACGAACCATCACAAACTTAAAACCTTGTGGAGCTGTTCAGGATTTATTGGCAAGGACTCCTTATCTGACAAAGCTAGGATTTCGTGGGCCTATGATATCATATTTAGGGCATTGGATGTTTCCTAATCTAGACTTTTTACAACGCCTTGAGACTTTGAAGCTATACAACAATTTTTGCAGTCAGCCAACCACTTTTCGAGGGGTTAAGTTTCCTACAAATGTTAAGAGGCTAACCTTGAGAAATACAGGTACAAAGTGGAAGGAGATATCAATCCTTGGGATGCTGTTACCCAACCTTGAGCTTCTCAAATTAGAAAGTGAGGCTTGCTGGGGACCGCAATGGGCAACAACTGATGGGGGTTTTTCTCGACTCAAATTCTTGAAACTGAAGTACCTCAATGTTGAGCGATGGATCACCTGCTCTAGTCACTTTCCAAGTCTTCATCACTTATGGTTGGAATCGTGTGACAATCTCGAGGAAATACCATGTAGTTTGGGGGATATACTCACTCTACAAATGATTACAGTAGCCTATTGTCGTCCCTCTATCGTGGAATCTGCCAGGAAAATTAAAGAAGAGCAAGAAAGCAATGGAAACAATGGGCTGGAAGTGCTGATTAGGAAAGATTGAGTCTTTTTTAACATTCCTGCGTCACTCGAAGCTTGGGTCCTTGTGAGTCCTTTTTAATATTCCTGCGTCACTCGAAGCATTCCTAATCAGCACTTCCAGCCAATTGTTTCCATTGTCTATTGCTGTTCTTTAATTTTCCTGGCAGATTCCACGATAAAGGGACAACAAAAGGCTACCTGAATCATTATGAAAAAAGAGTGTGAGAGTATTGTTTGCTAAAAATGTTGATTAGGAACGCTTGGCGTGACCTTTCAGTCAAAGTGTAATGATACAACTTCCAAAGGTATGTTCTGTTTTATAGTTATGTTTAATCTTTTCTTTTCTCTGTCATATTCTTTTCTTCATGTTAGATTGTGTGTTATGCAATCACATATTCAATGATGGAGAATTTTCATGAAATTTTTCATGGTATGAAGGTTAGAATACCATGAAAAGCTTTATGAAAATTCTCCACCCTTAGATTAGTTTGTGATATTTTATTGTGTTATGCAATCACATATCCAAGAATGGAGAATTTTTGTGAAACTTTTCATGATATTTCTTTCATGAAGCCTAATATTACTCTTTTTATATTTATGTTTAATCTTTTCTTTTCTTTATCATATTCTTTTCTCTCTCTTATATGGGGGTGTGTACATATGTAAATTATGATATTTGTGGTGTTGATATCACACATGTCATAACTAAATCATTTTCAAGTCATAATTAAAAATAAATAAAATGGGTCATAAACCAAACACCACTTAAATCCTAACCAAAAACCTTTTCTATCAGAACTAAAATTATAATCACAATAAATCATAACTAATATCATAATGAGTCAACCAAGTCATAACTAAGGGTTATATAGCCAAACACCACTTAAGGCATAACCAAAGACTTCTCCTATCATAACCAAAATAAAACCACGAGAAGTTATAACTGAGTCATAACTAACACTATAATGAGTCATAACCTGCAATACAATGAGTCATACCCAAAAATCATAAACGTCATAACTAGGTATATGGTGCACATCCCAAAAGGGGGTGTACATTATAGGATTTCCCTATATATATGAGAAATTCTATATCTATACTATTATATATGTAAAAACGTTGTAAAGTCCTTGTTGACAAAAATGTCAATCTATTTTTCTCAAAATCATGAATTTTTATAATGTAAAAATATACGTGTCGTCACATTATTGGTTCTCACCTATTTTCATTTTCATTTTCATTTTTATAATTTTAATGATCAATTTGGGAATACCTTTCAAATTTTGTCCATTAATTAGAGAATAACCCTATATAAAAACTTTCTTCTTCTTATATATACTAGTGCATTACTTATGTCAGAAGGCACTCATAACAAATTTGACACCACTTAAAATCAATCACTCTCATACAATTGACCTATCTCTTCCCATTTCATTCTCAATTTATATGTAATCACAATTTACTTTAGATGAGTTAAACAAATATTGTACACAACCAAATGATCAAAATTGAGTTTTAGAACTGATTAAAAAAATAACCTTAACTTAATTCTTGAATTGAGGTCTTCAATCAGGAAAAAAAAATGGTCTAACAAAAAAATGGTAGAGTGAACTCCAAACTTATTTTAAAAAGTATATAGTCAAAGTAACGTTTAGTCAAGAACATAGATATTCCATTGTCATCGTCATCGGATCCACCAGTTGAATCTACAACTACCATCGCCATGCTAAAATGAGCACAAAAAAAATAAAAAATAAATAAACAAAAGGCTTAAAAAATAATAGAAAAGAAAATAGTTAAAAACAATATAAAATATATATATATATATATATAAGAACTCTCTCATCCACTATCACTTCTGCCTTTGGCCAAGCTACGAACAATGGCAAGAGAGATAGAGGTTTATGTGATGGTAGGGAAGGGATAGGAATGGGTTCTCGCACCATCACCACTGTGCAAAATGAAAAAGTGCCCCAAAACTGAAAGTCCAACAAGAAAATAGTCCGAAATTTACAAACTCATGAACACATTCTAGGAGAAAATAAGCAATTTCTATTAGGAGTGAAAATACAACATAAAGAACAAATATAGGGCAATCAATTATTATAGTCAACTCATTTAAATTTACACAAACAGGGAATCCTACCTTTTATATAGGGAAAAAAAAAAGAAGGAAAGAGATGGTGAGTGAATTGCCAATGGTTAGGAAGAACGAATAGAGAAAAAGAACGGAAAAAGAAAAAAAGGACATGAATATGCTAGGAAAGTGTTGAAGTTTCTTTGGGCAAGAAGTTTATTTTTGGTCAAGCAAATCCAACCGTTAATCTCATAGATGGATTGATGTCAACCATTCTAACTAAATATAAAAAATAGACATTTTCAAAAACCATTATACTTTATTGTAATATATATATATTTGCATGGTATGATTTGTAGACGGGTTATGCTACGGTGAAGGATGTGTACCAGATGTAAGTTATGAGGGTTAATTACTGTAAAGATTATAACTGAATCCGTTTCAGTCATAATTTAAATAAATAAAAAATGAGTCATAAGGTATGACCAAAGATCTTTTGGATCTTAACCAAAGCAATATCATAGCCAACGTTACAACGAGTCATAACTAACACCACAATATATATAACCAAATCATAACCAACACCACAATAGGTCATAACCAAATATCACAAACATTCCGTATGTATTAATCCACATCGATATTGTTATTTAATACTTATATATCACACATTCCAAAAATATTTACAAAAACAAAAACAAAAACAAAAACAAAAACAAAAAATCAAAATTTAGTTAATCTCCATTTTTTGGAGAAAACAATTAAACACCAAATAGGTTTCCCCTTTTTGTTTTTTAAATTTTTGTAAACATAAACAAAAAATTATAAACGTAAATATTACCAAATGGGAGTTTAAGAACTTGACATAAAGAAAAATCACAAAAGTGGAGGAGGGGATGTTGATCCTTGGCTTGCTGCCCAATCCTTGTTGGGAAGTGTTGATCCTGATAACTATTGAATATTAACTATTCAACTGCAAATCCAATAACGTATATGTAATTGAGGGGTGACTATCTATGTATCTTGGTTGTAATTTTTTCTGATCATTGCATAACCGCAATGACTATAGACGTATGCCTAGTTTTGGGATAAACCACCTTTCATCCTGTGTTTTTGTGTGTACGTGTGATTAGCAATTTCTATTTTGTTCCTTCATATGTTCATATCATACCGATCCTAATTAAGTATTCCGCATGATAAACAAATGGCCAAAAATCTTGATCAACAGAGTGAAACACTCTAGACTAACCTTTGAGTTAGTGCATTGAAGCATCTAATAATATCAGGTCTTTTGTGCTGCTTTTATTTTTTTGTCATGTTTTTTTGTTTTTAGTTTTTAGTTTTTCTTTTTTTGAGATTTAACATGGGAAGAGTAATGAGGATTGCAACTTCAAGGTGAATTTTATTTTTTCTGAAGTTGAAATGCATTGTTTTGGTAGTACATATATTGATTTACATAACATTATCCTTTAGCTGAATATGTAAAACCACTTTGATATGTTTCAGGATGAAGATTGTCAACTTTCAGCTTTCCTCCCCTGTTCTGAACCAAACAAAAATTGAGTTTTCGAAGGTGCTATCAGAGAAAATGTAGAAATTGGGCATAGAGATTGAGAGTTTGATCCAGCATTATTGTGCTAGAAATTGTTAGTTAAGTGTGCTTGTATGTAATATAGCTATTTGTGAGTGCTTTTCTATTGTGAGGAAACTGTTGGAATATTATTCCATGACTTGTTTATGGTCAAAATTTCAATAGGCGTATAGATTGTAATAAAACTATTTGTGAGTGCTTGTTTACAGAAAAATTTATACACAATTTCTATAGAGAAAAATGTGATTCAATGTGAACCTTTTATTCTAAAAAAAAGTCATTATAGAGTTCCCTAATTACTTTGTTGTTTTCTAAGTGATAATGACTATACAGATCGGTTGTTAACGAAATAAATTAGGACAAATTACATCAATATTTCTTATATTTTTTTTACACTTATGTTATTTGATTCTTCTAATTTCAATTGGCTCAATTTTAATCCTAAATTTATAATTTTGTTTCAATTTTGTTCAATTGATTATAATTTACATATTGTGTTTAGTGAGTTAATATGTCATATTTTTGTAGACAAAATTCTAAACTCATTCAATTTAGTGAGTTAATCTCAACAAACTCATTGATTATTTTTTTTCAAAAATCATAATCAGAATTATCAATTAGATTAAATTGACACAAAATTTAAAATTAAGTATCAAAATTGAACTAATTGAAATGACAGAGCAAAATGGCACAATAAGCAAATTACAGAGACTAATGATGTAATTTATCTAATAAATTAATAGAATAATGTTTGAGAGCTCGAAAATGAACCCCCCTAATCCCCCTAATGCCCAAAACGATCGTTTTGGGCATTAGGCTTTTTCTTTTCTTTTTTTCTGCCATTTTCGTTCGACCTGCAGGGGAGGGGGAGGAGAGGGAGAGGGAGAGAAAGAGGGAGAGGGAGAGAAAGAGGTCACCGTCGCCATCGTCTCCGATCCGTCGCAGAACCGTCGCTGATCGCCGCGCATCCGCCTCCGTCGCCGATCGCCATGTCTCTGCTCGTCGCCTCTGCCATCGCCGATCGCCGCGCCCCCCGCCTCCGCCTCCAGCCCATTTTTTAGGCCCCCTATAGTCCCCCTCCCCCTCCTCCTCCTCCTCCTCCTCCTCCCCCTCCGCCTTCCTCCACACCTTCATTTCCTCCCTCGCCGGATCTTCTTCCAACGGTTGCGGTCCCAAGTTCAGGGAAAACAATGTTGAAGGAAGGACCAGCTCGTCCCACCTCATTCCCTTCTCCTCTCTCCACTCTCTCGCCTTCTTTACTTTGTCTTCGGCCTCCACGCCTACCTTTGGCTCCACCGATTTCGTGGGGACTTTCTATGTTGTGCGAACTTCTGAAATATTATATATATATATAAATTATTAGTCATTACATGATATTAAAGTAATTTAGATTATTAAATCATATTGAATATATATTATATATACAAATAGCATAAAATTTTACTTTTTTTTTATTCACTCATAAATTATAAAGATTAGTATAGCGGCATCTCTCTTACATTAGATAAATTATTTATTTTGATGGTATTAATGATTTTCTATATGAAAAAAAATATAAATAGAGTCAAAGTTTAATAATTTAATTAAAAAAAATTAAAATTGATTTACAATTCGAACAATTCGAACAATTCAAGTTTAACTCGGGTTAAGCTTGGA